TTTCCCTACGCTGTTGGCCTCTTCTACCCTGGCAGTGATTCCTTTTTAAACTGCAAATGGGGGGCGCCAGACTCCCACATGGCTGACTGTAGTTTGAGTCTCAGACACGGTGGCCTGAAAATCACACCAGGCACATGTGCATGCGTGCCCAAAATCCCGAGAGGAAAATGGAGACGGAATTGCAGCATGGCCATCCTCCTGGGGGATGATTTCTCACTTTCCCCCTCACTATCTCTGTCTCTCAGGCATGTGTCCTAAAGCAAAAACCTCTAAAAACAAACAGAACTGTAAAATGGAGCGGTATTGGGTTCGCTGAACTGTTTTGTGTGTGTCATAGAACACTTGGTTTGAGTCTGTCCCACATGGCTAAAGGGCGCCCTTTCCTCCCTGAGGGACCTGGGGCTGTTCTCGCTGGGACAGAGGGTGTCTGGGGCTGCACTAATTCCAGCCTCGGAGTGGACTGGGAATGTGCTTATAGAGAGACAGCCCACACTTGGGTGACATTACGGAGCTATGGTCAATAGGTGTGAACGTGGATCCTGGCTATATAGGAAAATCCCCTTAAATAAAAAGGAACCAAAGAAAAGCTGGTATTTGTCTAGCTCAAAAGTGTTTAAAACAGGGCCAGCAGGTGGCGTGGAGGTCAAAGCGCTGAATCCCAGGTGGCCCACTGTGCAGTGTGAGTCCCAGACCCGGCAGCGTGAAAATCACTCCAGGAGCATGTCCGTGCATGCCCAAAACCCCGAGAGGAGAATGGAGAAGACATTGCGGTGTGGCCATCCCCCGGGGGCCGACTCTTATTTTCTCTTTCTCTCACTCTCTCTGTCAAGCACACGTCCCTGCAGCAAAAATTGGGGGGGAAAAGTGTTTAAAATATTGTGGGTGGAAAATGACACACACACAAACCAACCCTCATTGTTTTCTCTTTCTTTAAAAAACTTTTTAAGGATTTTTTTCCATAGAGCAATGCGCTCACCAGAGAGAGAGAAAAAGTGAGAAATCACCCTGGAGGGGACGGCCACACCACACTCCCTTCACCTCCACCCTCCTCTGGGCATGTGTGCACGTTCACCCACAGTGTTTTCCAAGTCGCCAGGTTTGGGACTCGAACCGTACAGTCGGCCATACAGGACCCAGCGACTTAACCCGCACCACCTGCTGGCCCCCCAGCCCAGGTTTTTATGTGTTTCTCCACCCGTTTTCACGATTGCTCCTGCAGAGCCGTCTCGACACCGTTCCCGGGGCTTCCCCGCCATCCCCGTGAACTGCCGAGCCCACCGCCCTGCGGAGAACTGGGTGGGCGCTGGGTGGGGGACTGTGCTTCCTCTAGTACAAGGAGAAGCCGCTTTCACCCTTGAGAATGAATTTTTGGGGCCGGCAGGTGGCATGGCGGTGAAGGGTGCTGGACTCCCACGTGGCCGACCACGATTCGAATCCCGGACCTGGTGGCTTACTCACGTTCCCGCTCTCTTTCTCTCACTCTGCCCTTCTCTGGTCAAATTTAAATAAACAAAGAAAGAAAGTTAAATAAAAATAATTTTTTAAAAAAAGGCAATTTTGGGAACCAGCAGTTAGCGTAATGGCTATGTCGCTGGACTCCCACGTAGTCGACCGCGGTTCGCGTCTCAGTGGCTTAAAACTCACGCCGGGCGCGTGTGCGTGCGTGCCCAAGATCCCAAGAGGAGAATGGAGGAGAAGTGACTGCGGCGTGACCATCCCCCCTGGGTGGTGATTTCTCGCTTTCTGTCTCTATGTCTCTCTCTGTCTGTCTGGCGAGCGCATGCGCCCTATAGCAAAAAAACCTCTCAAAAAAAAAAAAAAAAAAAAAAGGGCAATTTTCAGGCCAGCTCTGTAGCATAGTGACTAAGGGTGCTGGATATTTTATGGCCAACTGCAGTTCAAATCCCGGTTCCAGCTTCTTAAAAGGCACACCAGGCCCACCTGTGTGCATGTCCCCCAAGCCCCAGCGGGATGGAGGAGACAGGATCGTGGTGTGGCCACACAGGAGCAGGGAAAAAGAGTACGTATCTCCGCTTACAGACAAACAGCTGAGAGAAGTTCTAAAGGAGGATCAGGGCGGTGCGTGTAGCCTAGGGGCCAAGGGACCTGGACCCCAATTGGCCAGTGGTGTGGTTCAAATCCCAGCCCCAGTGTCTTGAAAAAGACACTGGGCACTTGTGTGTAAGTGCCCCAAATCCTGACGGGATGGAAGAGGGAGGGTAAGGGATTGCGGGGGTGACCACACCCCCAGGACTGCTTTCTCCCTCTCCCTCTCCTTTCCCCTCAGGCCGCCATGTGATGCCCAGTGGCCCGTGGCCGGCCTGCGCAGGCTCACCCTGCGGTAGTCCTCCACGTGCTGCAGCTGGCTCTCCTGGCAGATGCACAGGTTCAGGAAGTTCTGCCACTCTGTCTTCAGGGCCTCCTGGTGGGCCTGGGGACAGCAGCAGGGAGCCTTGGGACCCCCGCGCTCCCACCTGCCCACCCTCCGTGGCCCTGGGAAGGCCCGTGACTGGGGAGCAGTGTGAGGTGAGGGGAGCACCCGGCCGGCACACCTGGATGGGCCCCACGGCGGGGTGCCCGAGCTCCACCATGCGCTCGCCGTCGTCCTCCAGCTGGTTCACGCTCTGCTCCTGGCTCAGCAGCTCATGCTGCTTGAAGTGCTGTGTGCAGGTCAAGTCGGGGGTGACGGTGAGGACCAGGCGAGGGGCCCTGGCCACCCACCCTGGCCACCGTCTCCCCACAGACCTCGTACTCTCGCCGGACGCCCGCAGGGTCGGCCATGAGGTCGCTCCAGTCCTGCTGCAGGATGTGGCGCTGCTGCTCGGCCAGGGCGCTCAGCTGCCGCGTGCAGCCCTGCAGGTGCGTGTACAGGCTGCGCAGGCTCTGCCCGCGCCACGAGGCCGCCTTCTGTGCTCAGCATGGCCGTGGCCAGCGTGGGAGAGGGGGCAAGAGGGGCCGTAGACCACGCTCAGAAACGCCGGCCTAACCCGGGGCCAGGCGGCCAGGCCCCGCCCACTCGCAGCCCGCCCTCCCCAGCCCTGTCCCCTGCTCACCAGGAGGTCCTGGTACTGTTTCCGGATGGTGGCTGCGTCCTAGACCCAGAGGAGAAACAAGCCGGTGAGATAGGGTGTGCGGAGAAGGCGCTCCCCGGCCTGCCAGGCCGCCCGCCCCGCTCTTGCTCAGCTCGGATGGGAGGTGGGTCTGGAAGGGGGGGGGTGGCCCACCCACCGGCCCCACGAGGCTCCGCAGCTGCTGCCCATAGGCATCGATTTCCTTCTGCAGGATGTTGTGCTCGGCGACCTGCTGCTCCAGCTCGGCCATGCCCGGCCCGTACTGCCCCTCCGAGACCTGCTTCTGTGGAAGAGCCGGCCCTCAGCTCTGCCCGAGCGGCCGGCCCCGCGGGCCTCCCTGCCCCTCACGTCCCCACCGGGAGAAGCAGAGTTGGTCCCTGGGCTGAGGGTGGAAGGGCCGGGTGAGCGGCCTGGAGCATGGCCTGCTGCCCGCCTGGGGGACACACCACCCTCCCGTGGCGCTGGCTCTGGCCTGCCTTGGTCTCAACACCTCCTGCCTGGACACCTCCAGCCAACCTCTGTCTGGGACCCTCAGCACACCCTCTGTCCCCTGGCCCTCTCCACTGCCCCTGGTGTTGTCCCGACACATCCCTTCTGTTGTGGCCGCGACGTACAACTCCTCACCCGATGATGGAGTGCGGTGTGACTGGCTCTTCGCGTGCCCAGAAAACCCCACTTCCCATCACACCCCAGATTTCCTTGCAGGAGCCTTTTCTCCTTCTTTCTGGAATGTCTCCTCATTGCACCACCCCAAACCGACCCCTCACCTTCCCATGTCTCTGAGGCCTCTTTGTGTGCCTCCTCCTAGGGGAAGCCCTCCTTGATTGCAGTGTCTGCTCTGCTCTCTCTTTCTCGGACCCCTGAGCCATCCCTGGGTTCAAGCACGCAGTCGCGCCTGAGCTAAGTGCAGTTCTGCGCTCCTCTCTGATCGCACCAGACCGTGACTCTGAGCTCCGCAAGAGCGTCTGACCCGGGGGGGCTGCCCTTACCTGCTTCTGCTCGAGCACACGTGCCCAGTCGACCCGGGGCCCCACGTCGGGCGGCAGCACCATCTTCTCGTACAGGGCGCGGTACTCGGCACACTCCTGGGTCACCCGCTCATGCAGCTGCTTGATGCTGGGGAGGAGGTGGTGGCAGGTCAGGCCTGGGCCTGGGTCACCACCCCCGAGCCTCCGCTCTGGGCCCCCCCCCCAGCTGCAGCCACTCACTCCTTCTCGATCTCCTCAGCCTGCGGGTGCTTGAGCCGCCGGGCCTTGTCCACATCTAGGAAGAGGTCCTTGAGCAGCACCTCGGCCTCCTTCAGGCTGCGGCCCACCTCGCGCTGGTGCTGCAGGGCCTGGCTCTGCTCGCCGTGCAGCCGGTCCTGCGGGTGTGGCAGGGGCCTGGCTAGGACCTGCACCCCTATGCGCTCCTGCCCCGCCTCTGCCGGCCTGAGCCCCACCCTTGGAGCCAGGCTGCACTGGCCAGGCTTGGGCTCCACACCAGAGGGCCAGGCCCAGGGCCTCTGGGGAGCAGGTGGCAGGGACACTAGGGAGCCAGGGCCCGGCCTTCGATCCCCAAAGTGGGGGTCCTGCTAAGGGCTGGCCGCACCTCTCCCTCTGTTTAGGGGGTTGGCGGTGAGGGACGAGGGTTGCCTTCTTGTGTCCGCCTTGACCAGAGGCACTCGGCCGCCCCGTGCCCTGCCACCTGCCGCAGGGGCTCACCTGCTGCAGCCTCTTCTGGGTCTCCAGGATGTCCCGCTCCACCTGGTCCGCGTTGGCTTGCATGCGGGAGATGAGCAGGGCCAGCTCTTGGGTGGCAGCCCTGGGGGAGGGCACAAGAGGCAACGTGGTGAAAAGGCCCCTTTGTGCGGCCGCGGGGGTCGGGGTCCCAGCCCTCCCTCTGCCCTGCCCTCCTCTACAGCTGGGCTTGCTGCCCTGGAGTAAGGAGTCGGGGCCTGGGGAACTCTGGTTCCCCTGCAGGAGACTCCGTGAGGTACTCAGGCCTAGGGGCAGGAGAGCATTGTCCCCCACCCGAGGTCAGACAGTGAGGTCCCGGCTACGTGGCCTGTGGGGCAGGTGGGCCCTGGCACCCCGGCCTCAGCCAGCTCTCCTGGCTCCGTGGTCTCGACCCCACCCACTGCCTCTGCTTCCTGGCAGGTAGGCAGGCAGCCCGGGAGCGCGCGAATCACTGGCTCAGCTCTAATACCCAAGGCAACCTGGCCAGGCCTCAGGGCAGGCTGGGGGGAGCAGCATGTCCCCCCAACTCCCTCCCACCCCACTCTTGCCCAGGAGCTTCGCCAGCATCAGGAGTTTGGTCAACAGTTTGAGGCATAGGGAGGCCATGTGATTGCTGCGACACCCCAATGTTCTCCAGACGGGGGGGCCCAAAGCCCAGACTGGGCCCTGGCTTGCTCTGGATTGCCCTCCCCATGCATTCACTTGGCAGCCTTTAACAGCAGCCATGGGGTAGCACTCATGCTTTGGGGTCAGTGTCAAGTGGACCCAGAGGGCAAAGTGGCCCATGCCTTGCGAGCAGAGACTTTGAAGAGTCACAGGCCTGAGGAAGGGCCTATCTTAGCTGGGCTCTGAGTCAGGGGCCAGGCAGAAGGCCAGTGCCAGTGAAGACAGTGGGCTGGAAGAACTTAACACAGCCTGGGTTTAATCCTTCCCCATTACTATTGCTGTGTGACCTTAGGCAAGTTACTCGACCTCTCTGTGCCTGAGGTCTCTCCCTTGTAAAATGGGATTGTAGAAGTATCCACCTCACAGGGTTATTGTGACCATTGGAAGGACAAGGACCTCTGAGGCAAGCAGCACAGAGCCCATTGCGGCGTCAGCACCCTAGACCAAACACTGAGAGCCACGACACCCCAGGCCTACAACAGCGCTGCCACCTAGTCAGTGCCCAGTAGTTGATGAGTGGGTGCACTCGGGGTGAGGTGCCCTCTTGGGCTGGGTACTGTGTCCTGGTCACCTCGTCTTCAGGTCCGGCCTCCTGGGAGGCCTGCTCTGGCCAGAGCTCCACCCTGGGCTGGGCCCTGGAACCCCAGGGAGGACAGGCCCCTCCAGTGAGAGTTAACGGCAGCCTTTCCTGTCTGTCCAGATGCCCAGCCTCGGTGCCAGCATCCTGATCCCTATCGGGTAATGGACGCCCCCACGCCCACGCCAGCTTTTCATCTCCACTCTTATCGAGACACCTGGGTCCCGGCAGGCGGCCCTGTCTGCCGCAGAGGAGGCTGCAGCCTGTGAGTGTGCAGCACACCCGCAGGCCCGTCTGCAGAGCTGGGCGCCCGGAGGCTCAGCGTCCCTCCACACCCACGTGTAAAGGACCCTGGCTCTTTAGCCAAACCCTCAACCTGGGCTGAGGACTGGAGAAAGGCGAGCCTTGGTGAGAGGCTGCACAGTCCCCGTGGCTCTGCACCCAGGACCCCAGCCCACCTCCCGCCCTCCTGCCCACCCTGCACCCAGCCCCACCTCCCGCCCTCCTGCCCAGGCCCCCTTGTCATCCCAGCCAGATGGAACCTTGGAGCAGAGCCATGGACAGAGGAAGGCTGCGACTCAGGTGGGGTCCAGCACCTCTCCCCAGAGCAGCCTCAGGCCGTAGCCCTCAAGCCCCCTGGAATATGGGGGTGTGTGGCACAGGGCAGGAGCTGGGCCTGAGGCTGGGGCAGAGTCCACTACAGGCCCCTAGGCCTTGGGAGCAAATGCCAGCCCTGGGCTGGTCCTGGCCCCGGGGCTGCTTCCCAGGGTCTGGAGCACCTGGGCCCGCACCTCCCCCCCCCATTCTCCCTCTCCCGGTCTGGCCCGCTCACCGGCTGTGCTTGTTGGGGGAGCCCTTGGGGGAGCCCTTGGCTGGAGAGCCCTTGGGGGACCCCTTCCCCTGGGAACCTTTGCTCAAGCCCTTGAACATGGTCGTCAGGCAGGTGTGGCCCGAGGCTGGGCTCCGGTGGAGGGCAGGCGGCAGTGGACTGTGTCCTCGCTGGCTGGTCGGCTGGGCTCTGGCGAGGTGGGGCTGCCAGCGCGGGGAGGCAGGAAAGGCAGTTTCTGGGAGGCCCCGGCTGCCGCGCAGGCTCCTAGGCTGGCCACACTCACCAGCTCCTGCACAACCAGTCTGGGAGGAAAGGGCAGGGCCCTGAGGGCGGGGCACCGCCCGCCGACTCCCACGGAGGGTTTGGGCGTGTTACACCCACACACCCAGAGGGAGCGTGGCCTGATCACGCCCAGATGGGGAAATAGCCGGGGCCAGGAGGGACAGATGGGCTGAGGACGGCAGACATGCACACGCACGCACACGCATGCACACGCACGCACAGCACTGAACGGGCTCAGCCTCGGGCCCCGGCCCAGGAGCCCAGGGTTAATAATCGTCTCTGGCCAGTGCTGGGAGGCCCGCTATCATACATGTCCTGTCCCGTGCTGGCGCCTGGTAGCAGAGTGGGGTCCCGGGACCAGCAGTTGGCGTAATGGCTATGTCGCTGGACTCCCATGTAGTTGACTACACTTCGAGTCCTGGACCCAGTGACTTAAACTCATGCCAGGTGCATGTGCATACATGCCCAAGATCACGAGAGGAGAATGGAAAAGGGATTACAGTGTGGCCATCCTCCCTGGGGCATGATTTCTCGCTTTCTGTCTCTCTGTCTCTCTCTGTCTCTCTGGTGAGCGCACATGCCCTATACCAAAAACCTCTCCAAAAAAAAAAAGAGTTGGGTCCCCACAGACATAGTGGGGGGCTGGGTTACTCCTGACACCCGCACAAGGGACATTTCTAAAGTGGTGCCACCCTGCGGCTCCTTGAGCAGCACCAGTAGTCCCCTCGGCCGGTCTTCCCGGCTGACCCAGTTCACCCCACCTGTCGGTGGCTCCAACACAGGCTGGAGTGAGACACAGCACAGCTGGGACCACGGGACATTCTAGGCCGCCTCGAGAGGCCAGGACACCCACAGACACACCCCCAGGTGCCCAGCGTTGGCCGGTGGCTCTGGAAGACCTGGCTGCCTTCCCTCCTCTCACTGCTCCTGGTGCTTTGGGGAAGGGAGATGGGGCCGTACCGCTTCCTCGCACCGGGACCAGGGATGCTGCCTTCTTGCATGGTGTCCCTCGGGGCTGCCACCTCCTTCAGGCACTTGATCCCCTGACGGATGTAGTCAGACACCCCCAGTACCACTCCTGGAAGCAGGGCTTGGGGGGGAGCGAAGGGGAGGGACACAGAGGCACTGGGACACCCTGGCAGGCCTAGCTGAGGACAATGCCCATCCGGCTGGGGAGGAAGGCCAGCGGACCGGGAGGCCAGGGACAGGGGCACACTCCTCAGAGGGCCAGGCTTTAGGAAGTCAGAGAGGGCCGGTCCTCACATCGGGACCAGGGACGCTGCCTTCTCCTCATACCTTGCACGGAGTCCCTTTTGCTTCACCACCAACCTTGACCCTGGAGAAGGGACCAGGCGTGCCCACTCCTGGAGAGGAAGGGGCTGACAGAGGCAGTGGGGGTGGAGAAGGGAGCGGGAGGCCCTGCAGGACAAGTGGCAACCAGGAACCCCAAAGGCCTCCAATGTCCTCTGCTCCCAGACATGGGAGGCCACGTGGCCTCACCCCAGTGCCCTCCCCAGTTTATTCCGAGTGACGATTCTCTTCTTAAGCCCTGGCCAGCAGCACGCCGCCCCAGCTGCTCTCAGAAGGACCGTGTTCAACGGCTGGGGCCGGACCGGCTGTTCCCAGGGCGTCTCTTCTCAATCCCAAGTCGACACAGTGGCCTTCGGCTTCGAAACCAGGCTCTTCTCGAGAGGTGGTGGTCCCTGGAGGCAGGGCCAGGCGGGGGTGATGCCCAGACTCCTGCCCGGGAGCCGCCCTGAGCTGGACGGGGAGGGCAGAGGCTGGGACGGGCAGAGCTTCACCTCTGCAGAAACCTTCCTGGAAATAAGTGGGCACCACCGGGCGTGGACACTAAGGGCTGCCTGACTCTCTGCAGGAGAAACGAGAGCTGACTTCCTGGCGTGACTGTCTAGTGCCGGGTCTGATAGGGGCGATCGGGCAGCAGGCAGGCCCCCGGGCTCTGAGACCCCCTCACAGTGGGACACTCCTGCTCAGAGGGCAGCGGCCCTGGCCCCGGGAGAAAGGGCAGGGGCAGAGAGATACGGCTGTCTGCGTTTCCCCCCCGGCCCTCCAGCCCTTGGAGAAAGAAGTCACAGATTATGAGGCCAGGCTGGGACCGTCTGCCTAATGGAGGCCCCCGTGGCCCCTGTGCCAGGCGCGGGCCTGCTGCGTGCGGTGCCGTGCCCTGGGCTGCTGGTACACGCCGAGATGTACTGTCAGCACCTGATTTCAGACGTTCACTGTGGAAAGGGTGTAAACTAGCTCACTATTAATTTTTATATTGATTACTTATCGAAATGATATTTTGGATATATTGAATTAACTGTATTTTTAAATTTTTACTCATTTAAAAATAATTATCTATTACATTTTATTCATTAATTTATTTTTAATTTGACAGAGAGAGACACAGAGAGAGAGAGAGAGAAAGAGGGGAGTTGAGAAAGCAAGCCACCAGGTCTGGGATTCAAACCGTGGTCAGTCATGTGGGAGTGTCCAGCACCTTAACCATCGTGCCACCTGCTGGTCCCTTACATTTTATTTTTATTTTGATGTAGGGTGGATGCACTTGCCAGGGAGAGACATAGAGAGAGAGAGAAAACGAGAACGCACATCCCGGAGGGGGTGGCCATGTTATAACCTCGTCTCCTCCACTCTCCCCTCAAGATCTGGGGTACACATGCGCACGAGCCCAGCATGTTCCTCAGGTTGCCGAGGCTGGAGCTCGAACCCGCCGCCATGCGGGTCCAGCTGCCTTAACCATTTATCTGACCCCTATTTTTTCTTTTCAAAGTAGTTTTATTGGGATCAGCAGGTGACATGGTTGTTAAGGGCACTAGACTCCCACATGGTCGACCACAGTTCAAGTCCTGGACCTGGTGACTTTTCTCACTCCCCCCACTCTGTCTGATCAAACTGGAAAATAATAATAATAAAGTTAAATAAAATAATTATTTGAAGAAAAAATATTTTTACTATGTATCTATATATTTAATTGCCAGAAAGAGAGAGGGGTCACATCCCAATGGGGCATGGTTAGACCACAAACCCCCCTCCCTCATTTCTCCATCCTGTCAGGATTTGGGGCCTGGCATGTTTTTCAGGCTTCTGGGCCTAGGACTACTGCAGTGGGCCATGTGCGATCTGGCTTTCTGCACACAGCACTTAACCACTGCACTACAGGCCTGGCCCTAAATGAAATCTATTTTAAAATGTCACTTGTTGCTTTTTTTCCCTTAAATGTGGCTACAAGAAACTCTAAAATTACAGATGGGGTTGAGTTTGTGGCTCCCATTGGAATTCTGACCCAGAAGCTGGACAGGGTGCCTTGACTTTCAGCCTTCCAGGCCCCTGCCCTGTCTCCCCCTGGAAGGATCTGGCTTCCTGTCCCTGTGGGTCTTTCCCCTCACTCGGCCTTGAGCTCTCTGCCATGGACTGAGAGCTGAGGTCAGACCAGCCCCGAGGCTCCCTCCCGCCCACGCCCAGTGCCAACCCTGACTCTGGGTTGCTCGCATCCCTAGCCTGGGCAAGCGGGCTGACCAGAGCAAACTAGACTGAAAGCAGCACAGCCCCCAGCTCTGAGGCTGCCAGGCAGAGCTGGGCATGGCCTGGTGTGGCCAGTCAAAGGCCAGGGCACAGGGCGGCAACTTGGCAAGAGTGCCAGGGCGGCTTAAACCCTCAGGCTCCCGCTTTCTCCTCCAGCTGGGGTTCCTATCCTCCCTGCTGAAGCAGACAGTGGCCACTGCCTCTGCTCGGGGCTCCCGAGGCTCCCTGGTGAGGACAGGCTCTGCGGCTCAGGAAATTACCTGTTTGCACAAAGCTCGGTCAGCAGACCCTTGGACCGAGCTGAACGACAGCCTCTTCCCTCCTCTTTCCTGGCCTGCTGGGGGTCTCCGCCTGCTGGGCCTCTAGGGGACATGGCTGGCGGGGAGGGGGGTTCAAGGGATGAGCCTCCCTCACTGTCCGCAGCTGCAGGATGGAGGCTGCCGGCCCAGGACCCACAGGGCCGTCTGGAGGAGGCGCCCTAGTCTGCTTAGAGAGGCGGAGGTGTCTGAGGGCCGCAGAGCGGGCGAACGGGCTGCTGTTCCTCCTGGGCCTTTCAGGAAGGTCTAGAGCAAACACAGTCGGGTTCTGGGCCATCTCCGTGGTCTAGCAGTTCAGAGGCTCAGATCCCTCATGGCCAACTGCCATGGTTTGAGTCCCAGCTCTGGCGGTTTGGAAAACATGCCAGGCATGAACACATGGATACCCCAAATCTTGATAGAATGGAAGGGACTGGGTATGACTACTCCCATGAGGGAGGGCTCTCTTCCTCTCCGTCTCTCTGGTGAGTGCATGAACCCTCTGGCAAAATGAATAACTAAGTCCTAGACCCAGTACCTTGAAATGTCCATTCCATGCTGGGCACATACTGTGCGTGCTCAAAATGCCAAGGGGGGAATGGAGAAGAGACTGCAGTGTGGTCATCCTCCTGGGGAAGGTGGTTTCTCACTTCCCCTCTGTCTCTTTCTCTGTCTCTCTGGAGAATACACACACCTTATAGCAAAACTAAAAATATACATAAACATTTAAAAATTAGGGCCAGCAGGTAGTGTGGTGGTTAGGGCACTGGACACTCCCACATGGCCAACCACAGTTCGAGTCCCGTACCTGGTGGCTAGCTTTCTCACTTTCCTTCTCTGTCTGTCTTTCTCTGGTTAAGTTAAAATAAATGAATGAATAAGAAAAGTTAAATAATTTTTTTTTGAGAGGTTTTCGCTATAGGGCACGTGCGCTCACCAGACAGATAGAGAGACAGAAAGCGAGAAATCAACTCCCAGGGTCGGGATGGTCATGCCGCAATCCCTTCTCCTCTCGAGATCTTGGGCACGCACGCACATGCGCCCGGCATGAGTTTTAAGCCACTGCGTCCGGGATGCGAACCGCGGTTGACTACGTGGGAGTCCAGCGACATAGCCATTATGCTAACTGCTGGTTCCCAAATAAATAATTCTTTAAAAAATAAAATAATAATAATTTAAAAATTAGTAATTAGGAGTAGGATGTTCTGCACTAAAGGGCAAGCTCAAGGCTGCCTTGGGGT